CTGGTATGCTAAGCTAAGGAATACTTTAATTCTGGCAGTGGATTCCAGCCCAGACCTTCTGAGTTGGCCATTTTCTCTTTGCTCTCATCAGAATTATTCTACCTAGAGCTGGAAAGCAACTTAGTGCAGAGAAACCACCCCTGAATCCACGGATCTTTCCACGGTGGGGAGGTGAGGGGCGGGTGGCAGGCAGGTTCTTGGAGCCTGCAGTAATGACATGTTTTACAAATTTCATTTTCTAGGAATGAGTTTGAAAGAATCTGCAGAAAGGAGGTGAAACCACTAGGATTAACACTCATGAGAGATGTGACCATTTCAAAATCAGAATATACTCCAAGCGAGAAAATGGTTGTGAAAGTGCAGGATTTCCAGGAAGACGAGGAGCTCTTCAGATACTGCACTCTCCCTGAGGTTAGAGACCATCCTGCCTTACGTGTCTGTTTAATGCCAGTCTGCACGCCCACCTGTGCAATCCGCTGTTTTTACCCAATCTAACCCCTTCTACTTATGTGTCTAAAGCAGTGGTTCTCAGCCAGAGGTGATTTTGCGCCCTCAGTGGATATTTAGCAATGTCTAGAGACATTTTTGGTTGTCAGGACAGAGGGGAGGGTGGCTTCTAAGGGGTAGGGCCCAGGGATTCTGCTAATGGGACCCAGAGATCCTATAATGCACAGAGTAGCCCCCTCCCCCAAACAAAGAATTATCCCACCCCAAATGTCAATAGTGCGAAGATTGAGAAACCCTGCTGTAGAGTTTGCTAATTATAGTTTTTCCTGTGTTCAGGAGAGAGAGCCCCTTCTAAGGCTTGACACAGGGGTATCAACGGGTGAAGTTGCAGAGGCTATTATTTATAAATTCATTTATTTTTCTTTTTATTTTATGAATCTGGTCAATAGAGGTGTGTATGTTTTAAATTTAAAAAATTTTTTTAATTTAAAAATTATTATTCTTTTAGTGATTCATGTTTATGAAAACATCCAAGCAGCACAGAGGGGCATAATGCGAAAAGCAAATCTTTCTCTACCCCTAGCCCCACTCATTGTTAAGCTTTTTGTGTATTCACCTAGAGTTATTTCATACATATGGAAGCATATTTGTATGCCCCCACCTTTTTTGTGACACATAAGCACACTAGCCGTCACCTTATTTTTTTCACTTACAGTGGATCCCAGACATCTTTCCATTTTAGTATCTATGGGTCTACTTCATACCTTTTAAACTACTGCGTAGCATTCCATTGGGTAAATGTACCACAGTTTGTTAACCATTTGTTTAGAATGGTTTTGAAGGAGACTTTCCATATAGTGCTTATCAGAGAATATAACCAAGTGCTGTTAGAAAATTTGACTCATGAACAAAGACTGTACGGGTAAGTGACCTGAGATGTCACATCCAGCCCGTTGGAGAGAGGACCTGCTTATCAGAGAATATAACCAAGTGCTGTTAGAAAATTTGACTCATGAACAAAGACTGTACAGGTAAGTGACCTGAGATGTCACATCCAGCCCATTGGAGAGAGGACTAGAGGAAGGTGGCTCCTCTGGACCATCCATGCTTCCCAACCTCAAGTCCTGTGATAGACATGAAAGTATTGCAGGTGGATCATGGCTGAAAAGCTTGAAATCAGAGGCCAATTGTGGCGGATGAAACAACAGCATGACTTTTAGATTTCCTACATTTCTAAAGTATGAGCCAGGTATCTGGGGGTCCATGCAGTAATTTTAGGAGGTACACATTATTTTAATAGTCAGGTATTTATCTTAACATGTATTGGGAAAAAATCACCAGCACAGCAAATCCATGATTTCAAGAATGCTATTAATCAGGATAAGATTAAGTAAAAGAAGTGAGCTAATTAATTTAGGAAAATTATTGGCTAAATAACAGTACAAAGTATGGCAAAAATTGTGAAGGTGGCTCTTGAATAACTGAGGTTTAGAAAAGACCAGCCTGGGTGAATGCCAGACAATACCAGGCTTTATAAAAAACAAGCACGTGGGCTGGCTGGTTAGCTCAGTTGGCTAGAGGTGGTGTTATGACCCCAGAGTCAAGGGTTCGGATCTCCATACCGGCCAGCTGCCAAAAAAATTTTTAAAAAACAAGCATAAGGACTCATAGGCTTTTTGTAACATTTGAAGAGTTTCATACACAAGTTGCCTATATTCTGTGTACACCGTATACACGAGATCAAATAGGAAGCAGTGGAATGTGCCTCATTTTTTTGGAGTCAGAATCAGAGTCTGAATACCATCTTTTTCACTTATCTGTCTTTGCCAACCTGGGCGACTTATTTGTCTCAGGCCGATTTGCGTGGGACATTAATTTTAAGGGATTATTCACTAACAGGAGCATGAATTTTAGGCATTATCGTGAGGATTGGATGGGCTGATGTGTTCAGCCCACATAAGCCTCACCACAGGCACGTAGGCGGTCAGCGTCGAATCTTTTCTGCATTTCCCCATCCTCTCTGGGTTCTTTTTTTTTTTTTTTTTTTTTTTTAGGAGAAAACCATTTTTCATTGAAAAATAAAACAATACATCTCAAGATTTTGTATTTAACAACATAAACTGTAATTTGTTGAGAGAAATAGCTTTCCTAAGTAGTACTGTGAAATTTAGGCATT